CAATACCTCCCCCTTTATCCGCGGGTTTTATAATAAGATCCAAGTCTTCTTTTAGATCCTTAAGTGCCTTACGTTCTTGTACTGTTAAATTTTGATTAAAATCTTTATTAGAATTCTCTCTTTTTTTCTAGTTTTTTTTATATCTGTCATCACCATAGTTTCAAATGTGGTCATCTTTTCAGAGATCATTTGTTTAGGGTAGAACTGAGATTTTAATTTTAAGTTAGTATAAGTATTATTTTCTATATCAAGTTGATGTTCTATAGGGTTTTTTATGAAGAACTTTTTCAAACATAAATTTCTTTTAAATCTATTAAGATACACATAGAACTCAAATTGATTCAGGGATTTGTTTGGGGAAAATTTAGGGCCTTTTCTCAGTACTTTCTTATGATCTTCTGTGAGCACTTTATTACTTAAATTATGAATTCCTTTCATTAAGGTAGATTTCTGGATGTTCTTTCTCGTCTTTCTTTCTTGGGTGTGTTTTCCTCCTCTTGTGCCTCTACGCTCGAATCTCTTTTTCTTTTGGAATATGTTGTATTGGTATGGACCTCTTGCCTTTTGTGTCTTTCTTTGCCTTTGCTCCTCCAAAAAACCTGATCTTTGAATTCGTCCAATACCTGGAATCTGTTACTTACTTTAATGGGTTCTTCCTTTCTGTATTGGTTATAAAGGTTGTAGGATTTGTACTTTTTTTTTTCATGTCCATATTCATGTCTTCTTTCCTGTCTTTCATTTCTATAGGGTCTATTTCTTTCTTGTCTTTCTCTATTAAAATATTCTCTATTTCTTTGTTCCTTCTGTTGCCAGTAAGGAATTCTCCTATTTTCCCAAGTGTTATATGGGCAGGGGTTTTGATAGTAGTAATCCCTATTCCTATAATTTTCTTTAGGTCTGAAATTCTTAGGTGTCTGTATGTGTCTACTGGCTGTCTTTCTGTATTCTTGTTTCTTAGGTGTTTTAGATGCAAACTGTCTATCTTCAGATTGTATTTCCTCCCCTTCTTCATAGCATATTTCTGAATTATTGTTTTTATATTTAGAAAAGGTTCTAAATTGTTTCATTTTATAATCCTTAATATCCCGTTGATATTTATATTTTTTTAGTCTCTATTACATCTTTTTACAATCTATCTAGATTATTTTTGATTTCCTGAGTCGCATTATCAAATTCTTCTTGATTTGGAGAATTAAGTATCTCATTTTGGCATTTACTTATTTCTGTGTCTATCTCCTTTAAATTTTCTTTCCGTCTTTTAACGATGAGGTTTATGGTATTAATGGCAAAACCTTCTAACATAGTATTCCATTCATCCATAAAGCTCATTATATCTTTGTCATATGTAGGCATTTTTAAATATCTTAGGCCTCTAGGGGTAATGCCATCTATCAGATATTTTTCTAGCGTGGCTATCTCCCATTTTATTTTAAGCTCTTTTTGTAATTGTCATATTCTCTTTTCTTTCTATTTAATGATTGCTCATTCCAATTAGCAAATTCTGTTTCCATATCTATTATTATTTCTTTTATCAAATAAAGACATATTAAAAACTCTTCTTTTTTACTTTGGTACTGAGCAGCTAAGAAATACTTAGGGTTGTAGATAAGAAATGAGAAAGTACTAGCGCTATTTGAGTGGTAGATATATTATAATCACTGTGTGCACCAAGTTAAAGTAGCTGCTATATCACCGTGGTTATCTTTTAAACAAAAGTCTTAGGAAAGAAAGGGAATATCAGTGAAGCGCTATTGTGAAACTGATAGATATAGAACAATTCAAAAATGGAAGGATATACCTTTAACAATAATGTTCACTTAATGAGATATCCGTATGTACCTTTAAATACAGAAAAAATACACAACATACAAACTGTATAGAAATAGGTAGTAAAGATTAAAATCAAATGCCAAATGTGAACTCACACTTTTAACCCTATCTACTCTATTGGCAGATTACCTTATTTACTCTCTTAATAATAGAGTCCCCTACCATCACAACCTTTGTAGCCTTCCTTGCACTCTCATTCCTACCCATACTACAGGGGCTGTTCCCCCAGCTGTTAGAAGGAACAGCTTCCTGTAGTACAGCTACTCCTGAGCTCCCAACATGTTCACTCAAACGGGCAAATATGTTAGGCTGCACAAGATACTGCACTAGCTAAACCCTTCCTCTTCCCTCCCCCCTTGCCCCACTGTTACTCAGCTATGTGCCTGTTCACCAACTGTCTCATCTCCCACTCAACTACCTGTCCCCATTAAACATATTAGACTCAGTGTTTCCGGATCCTTGCCAGTATTTTTTGTTTTTGAACCTATGCTGCATGACCTTGGCTTTTCTTAAAAAGTGAGTTTGTCTTATTCTTTCTGGTTCCTTGTTATTTGGGATATTTCGGCATTCTGGCTCCTCCTGTCAAACTGTTAAAAAAAATAAAAAATTATAAGACAAAATTTGTATTGCCCGTAGTGGACCACTTATCTCCAGAATATTATAGGCTGCAGGTCCAGGAGATCTCTTAATTCGCTTTTACAATCAGAATGATGGACTTTCTCAAGAGCCTCATTCAACCTTCTGAGCGTTTGCTGTTTTTTTTTTTAGAATTTGAAAATTTTATACATTTTCTTTACATTTTTTGAAAAGTTTGAGACATTTTGAATAGTTTAAATAGGGTCTTTTTATACTTAAAAAGTGCTCAAGAAGATTTCTGAATATGGTCTATATTTAGGTTCTTTAAAGATAGTGTCTTACTATTATCTCTAAACACACACACACTAACAAAATAGCATAATATATTTTATATATCTCATATGTTTTATATATCTTTTATTAGCAATATATTTTACACTCTTTATGTGGATTCCCCCAGAGAGTTCTATTTGTATCTGTATATGTACTTATAACATGTATTGAATTTTTATTGTATTAAAAACACTTTATTTTATACGTAAATAATCACAGAAGAGTTAAACAATGTCTCTTGCACACATATACATGTTTTAAATATTTTTTTATTAATATATTTATAACAGAGACTGAATACCCTTTTTACAATTTTTTTTAAACTTGTGAAACTTTGTGAAAGTGAAACTTTTAGATAATTATTTTATAATAATAATAGTAATTTATTTACTCTCTTAACAGAGTGAGGTGCATATTCAGTGAGATGCAACAAACACTTACTTCTGCTGCACTTCTGAGCAATTTGTGTTGCTATGTTCCCAAGATGTCCTGCATATTTTCTTGACTCTATGGACGTAACAGGAATTGTATACCAGAACAGATTTTCTTTCAATGCAATTTAAAAAAGGAGGGGTTTAAATTTGTTTTTATAATAAACCCATGACTGACTAACTAACTACTTTAACTAAGCTATGAAAATGTGCTTCTCACTAAAGTGACTATTCCTCTTCCAATGTAAACTAAAGAAACACGTACATTTACATATTTTTTTATTAATACGTATATAGACAGTATACTGTCCTTTTCATTCCATGCTTATTTAAGCAGAAATAAATAGTACTCTGGTTTATTTATTAAAGGACCACTATAGTGCCAGGAAAACAAACTTGTTTTCCTGGCTCTGTAGGGTCTTTAGGTCCCCCTCCTCCTCTCAGGGCCCCCCTCCCGCCGGGTTGAAGGGGGAGCAAGGGGTTAAATTCTTACCTTTCTCCAGCGCCAGGCTCCCTCGGCAAGAGCCGCGCATGCATTCAATCAGTCTATAGGAAAGCATTTCTCAATGCTTTCCTCATTTCTCAATGCTTTCCTATGGACGTTGGTGTCTTCTCACTGTGAAAATCACAGTGAGAAGCACGGAAGCGCCTCTAGCGGCTGTCAATGAGCTGAAGTGATCTGGGTGCCTATAGTAGTCTTTTAAAGTTTGTGATGAGTATTATACAATATATAAGCATATAATTTATAAACTCAACTATGACTTACAGCTGTAGAAATATTGCATTTATTTATTTTTTCTCTACCTACCTTGAAGCTCTAAGCTGAAACATAAATACAAGACTATTCTATTACTGCATGCTCTTCACTAAAGTTCGAACATTATAAGTAATAAACTTTTTGTTATGGACTAAATAATGGCAACTTAAATTGCCAGCTTTATAAAAAAGTTGAGGAAACATTTTACTGTGAAGAAAATATAAGTGCAAATACAAATTACATTTGATGTCATAGACGGGGCCGGACTGGGAATTAAAAGCAGCCCTGGAAAAAAAATATTTACCAGCCCCATAATGCATCGCGCCAGCATAGTGTGCAGATACAGAGTTAGAACAGATAACTTAAAATTAAAAAGTACTTCAACGTAAAAAGCGCACTCATAGGCTTCAAAATAAACAAAAGTGCAGATTTATTTTAAGCAGACGTGCCTTTGCATGTAATCAATGTTTCAGTCCAACTACCTTGACATATTAAGGAAAGCTTGTTAATGGGACTGAAATGGTGAATGTATGTAGGGCACAACTGTAAAAAAATTTTATTTTGAAGTCCTGTGGGTGTGCTCTTCACTTTAAATATGTTATTGTGCTTGAGTATGCACCTAGCAACAAGATTGGGCCAATATCTGCTCATTACATATGGTACATATTAATGAAATTTCTCTGTGTATTATGCATATATAAATGTACATTAATATGTGTAAATATAATATATATATATATATATAAAACAAATATACACATTAATATACATGTCATATACCAGTGACGGATCCAGAGCCTGAGCCCGGGAAGGGCACTTGTAGATTATTTAAAGAAATATTCCATGCACAATAACCACTACTCCTCTGTGTAGTGGTTATGGTGCCAGGAGTGTCGGCACACCCTCCCAGAGTAAGTAGTCAAACCTTTTAAGAACAGTTTGACAACTTACCTGGAGTCTGCTGGGATATGGGGCTGTAGTAGGGTATAGGAGCAGTGGTGCAATGTGTGAGGGGTGCAATGTGTGTGAAAGGTTCAGTGTGTGGGTGTGGGGGGCAGTGTGTGAATGTGTATGGTGTGTGTGTGTGTGGGGGCAGTGTGTGAATGTGTATGGTGTGTGTGTGTGTGTGTGGGGCAGTGTGTGAATGTGTATGGTGTGTGTGTGTGTGGGGGCAGTGTGTGAATGTGTATGGTGTGTGTGTGTGGGTGCAGTGTGTGTATGTGTCAATGTCTCCCCTCTCCTTCCCAGTCTCTCTCTTCCCCCTCTGCCTCTTTCTTCTCCTCCCCTTGTGTGTCTCTCTCATTTCTCCCTCTTTGTCTCTCTCTTCACCCTCTGCCTCTTTCACCCCCTTTCCCTGTGCCTCTCCCTCCTCCCCATCTCTCTCCCTCCCCCCTTTCCCTGTCTCTCCCTCCAACCCATCTCCCCCCCTTTCCCTGTGTCTCTCCCCTCTTCCCATCTCTCTCCCTCCAACCCATCTCTCCCCCTCTTTCCCTGTGTCTCTCCCCTCTCCCCATCTCTCTTCCTCCCCCCTTTCCCTGTGTCTCTCTCCCTCCAACCCAGATCTCCCCCCCTTTCCTGTCACTGCTCCCCCCTCCCATCTCTCTCCCTCCCCCTTTCCCTGTGTCTCTCCCTCTCCCTCCTACCCAGCTTTCCCTGTCTCTCCCCTCTCCTCCTGCCCTTTTCCTGTGTCTCTCCCTCTCTCTCCCCTCCCCTCCCCTCCCCTTTCCTGTGTCTCTCCCCTCTCCTCCCTCCTTTCCTGTGTCTCTCCTCCTCCCCATCTCTCTCCCCCTCCCTTTCCCTGTGTCTCTCCCCTCTCCCCATCTTTCTCCCTCCCCCCTTTTCCTGTGTCTCTCCCTCCTCCCCATCTCTCTCCCTCCCCCCTTTCTCTGTGTCTCTCCCCTCTCCTCATCTCTCTCCCTTCGCCCTTTCCCTGTGTCTCTCCCATCTCCCTCCCTCCTTTCCCTGTGTCTCTCCCCTCTCCCCATCTCTCTCCCTCCCCCCTTTCCCTGTGTCTCTCCCCTCCTCCCTCCCTCTATTCCCCCCCCATTTACCTAGAGAAGTCAGGGGCCGCGTTCCAGGCTGGAGCCGCCGGGCAGGGTGGCAGCTTCGCCGGTCCGGTGGCACTCCTGTCACTGCTGTGGCTGATGGAGGGGCAGCATGTCTCTGTACCATGCTCCCTCGCGGTTCCTGTGCTGGGAATTGTGGGAACCGCGAGGGAGCATGGTACAGAGACATGCTCCTCCTCCTTCAGCCATCAGCCACAGCAGTGACAGGAGTGCCGCCGGGCCGCATGGCAGCTTCGCCGGTCCGGACTGGCCACCCGGTGGCACCTATGTGGCAGTGCAGCCCCCAGGTGCCGCGGCTCACCGGGAAATTTACCAGTATCCCGATGGGCCAGTCTGGCCCTGGCCATGATAAACAAACTGGTAAATTATTCAAGTCAGCTATACTTACAATTCAGATGTAAATTTGAAATTCAATCTGAATTCATGATAGTTCTCAATACAATGAGTCCACCACTTTGTTCTCATGACACAAAAAAAGTTTCCCTCATTTTCACCATAGTTTAAGAGAAATTCTCCCTGATTACTTGTGGATTATCTAACATTGGTCAAACTCAAATGAGCACCAAGGTAATTTTAAAGCGCTGTTTCCTTGTAACTCATGGATTCGTTGTGATTTCACGGGCCGTACACTGAGTGGTTTTTCTTGCCAATGCGACTTCTGAATAGAGTGGACATGGCACTGAAAGGCCTCCATAAAGCTGTACCACAGAGGAAAGGTAACTTAAACTCCTTACCTTAAGTTAGTAGTGTTTTACTGATGTACTACAATAACTACTTTTTTATGGTCACAGCAGATTCTAGATAGTATCTTCGAAGCTCAGTTCTTTTCCTGCCTTGCGTGTAGACAGTAGAATGTGAAGCTGCCTTCAGAAGATTTTTTTGTTGATC